GCATAAGTTGAAGGTGTTTAGGGCATTGTAACTTGGGAGAATTTCCAGTCATTCATAAATAACCATTAATCTGTCCCTTTTACATTCAGCTTTCCACATCTGTTTCAAATTGTTCAGTGCTATTCCAGGAGTGCATTAAAGCCCCAATCCAGGTAGTATTAAGGGGATAAATGAGCCACAGGGAAGAGACACTGTATTTTTCTCAAGGCAATTCTTTCTCCTTTTTTAGAGAGTTAGGAGCCAAGCAATTTACGATGAAGATTTTTGGAAGATATGCTTTGTCATTTTAAGCCATCCTTGTCTGTGGGCTTAAAAATGAGGTTTTAGCTCTAGTATCCTGGCATACCTTAATGTATTTCTCTATACAGGTAGATTGTGAATATCATTTCTATCAGCAAACCTGAGTAGTTTCAATTCATTGTGATTCAGTGTGGATTCTTATTTAAGAAAAATGAAGAATAGTTAAAACCTAAGGTCAGTTAGAAATAAATAAGTGTCTGAGTATGCATTTATATTTGCAATAGGAATGTCAGAGAAAGTTGTCAATAATTTTAGTTTGATACATTTTTCTACAGAAAAAAATTGCTTTTCAGGAAAAAGGCATTATTATGAATTATAATTTAATATTATTTTGCTTTATGTCTGCTTCAGGTAATTTAATGAAAATTATAAAGGTGCATTTTTTCTACCCATAAGCTATTTTTTCAGGTGCTTTCTAAAGAAAGTATTTCATAAGAATGACCCAACCTGTACTGTTAGATTTACAAAAGTCTCATCACATAGTACAGAGATGCCCTGCAGAATAAATGCATATAAAGATACCATGGTATGATGTATCAGATGACACGTAGCATGAGAGAGGAATGTTTTCAAGTTGACCTTGAAGATGCTAAGGGAGTTACAGAACAAATATCAAGCAGGAGGATAACTAAAAGATGATTCCATATCTCTGGCATTTGTAATACTCATAAAAGGGATGACAAGCTGATTATCTGACCCAGAATAAAATGCCCACACAGTAACGTAAAGAAGAAGAAAATTCAGTTGCATGTCCCTCATCAAGGTCCCTCATCTCATCACATAAAGTACACTAAATCATTCGATATCAAGTTGGTCTATTTCATAGTTACAGTCTGCAATTTCATCCATGTGTAGGGGATTGACAGCTGCTCTACCCATTAGTATTAATGAATTACCAATGTACATCCCACGCGCATCTACAAGAAACCAAAGAAACCCCTCCTACACACTGCTTTGTTTTGAATCCTCCAAATGTTGTAGGCTAGCTATCTTTTTAATAAGTGGAAATTATTGAATATGGCACATATTATCCCTCATAGCTAAAACTGAGGAGACTAGGAATTAGTTAATAATTGTAACTTTATTCATATGGTAAAACAAGTTAAATTATCTCTCATCTAAGGAATGCCTAAGACCATTTAAGGAATGTGACCTGATCTGCTAGGGCATTTCATTAAAGAAAAAACAATTCAGAATGGCATTGGCAGCCTGTTTTGTGAAATTTTTTCCCTCCTGAAGTACCTCCAAGAATGTCCTTTAAATGAGATGAGAAAGAACAAAATGAGTTTTGATATGATGACCATGTGTCATATCTGATGACTTGTTTACCCAGAACGCTTTCAGTTTATACCTTTTGTTCTGGCGTAATTATCAGTCACTACCCATTTCCTCTCAAAAGGTCTTGATTTGGATGGAAAATTATATGTTCAACTAGTTTAAAGCATTTCTTATACAACCACGGTGTCTTCGTCAACCATCTAGCATGATTTCAGTTCCCAATTATGTCTTTTGTGTGGAACACCTGTTTCTACAAAGGAAGAAAGAAAGAAAAACTATGCCAGTCCATACACCTTCATCAGCTAAAAATTCATCTCTTTTGTCTACTCTTTTAATCTTTGGTTCCTTATCCCTTTTTCCCTGATGGTGACATTGCACTCCCCAACACTGTCCTTATAGAACATGTCAAGCAAGGACAGGTGAAAGAATGCCACCATATAAATATCTTCCCGTAGAAACAGGCAGCTTAACATTTTTCAATGCTTGTCTGTGTGAAAAAAAATGTGACACATAGTCATGGGTTACTTAATGACAGTGATACATACTAATAAATGTATCATTGTGCAAATGTTATGGAGTGTACTTACACAAACCTAGATAGTATAACCTACTACATACCTAGGCTACACATATAGCCTCTTGTTGCTAGGCTACAAACTTGTATAGCATATTACTGTACTGAATATTGTAGGTAGTTATAATATTTGTGTATCTAAACATAGAAAAAGTACAGTAAAAATATGATATTAGAATCTTATGGGACCATCATATATAAGGTTCATCATTGATGGAAATGTCATTATGTGGCACATGGCTATATTTTATCCTTTTTAATGAAGAGGAATTTAAGGCCACGTTCCTCATTGACATGGAACTATCAGATTGAGTTATATCTCCCCTTAGAAACATTTATTAAGGGCCTACTCTGTGTCTGACATCTTGTTATAAAAAAATGACTGAGAGATTGTCCCTCATGTCAAGGAGCTCACAGTCTATTAATAGAGAAGACCTTGTTGAACAATAATTACATATACTACTAGAAGTGAATACTACTAAAGTATTACTAATTTATGTGCCACCAAGGGTATGGAAAAGTGTGGTGGGAGAACAGGCGTGGGATTCAATCTGGGATCTGCTCTTGGGGAAGAGATGACAGAGTATCTGATGTGCGAACTGTGTTTTAGAGGAGGAACAGAACGAAGGTGTCAATTTATATGAGGGGCTCTGCATCAGGTTTGCTCTGAGAAAGTAGATGGCCAACATACACAGTCAAAAAAATATCACTTATTCTCCTGTACGCTGCATTCTATAGATGAAAGCCTTTTGTCGTTGTTCTGAAGAAGAGTGGAAATCGACAGTTTACTGTTTTTACAATAGCCATAATTTTCCAATTTGTTGGTACACCTTCAAATGTACTTTGGAAGACCATTACAGAACTCTCTCTCTTTGGCCTTTCCTCTGCAAAACAGACTTACTTCCTTGGTTACTCTCAAAGGTCTTGTTTGTTTTTTTTAAGCATTCTTATTCTTTTCTCTTCTGAAATTAATCGGTGTATGGTTCCCACCACACAACCTTATATTCTGCACTCAGCATTCAGGTAGCATTGCAGTGAATTTATGTATAAAGGTCTGGCTAGTGGGTATAGTCCTAAATCTCATACTTATTTACTTGTATCTCACTGCCATGCTGAAAATAAGCATCATAGGGCACTTGATAAACACAGCTGACTGAAAGAAGCAGTTCATCCAACCTTGTAGTTACTGCTGCCATCACTTCCAGGTCGCTGATTCTTCTCTCTCCTGATAGTTTCTTTCTGCCTTGCCATTTCACTAATTTCTGTAAATTCTGTCTTCTACCTTCTCTCTACATTTTATCCCATGAAGTCTGTGTTGTTTGGATGGATTCTCCAATCACCTCCTACTTCCATCCTGTACACTTTTCCCAGTCTTTAACTCAAAAACAGATCATCTTCTCTTCCCATGTCTAATCCACTGGCTACTTTAATAGACTCAGTTAAATAGTGTCTTCAGCCCCTGTTTCTCCCCCTCCAATCCCTTTCCTTACCATGGTATCGGTTCCCTCATGACATTCCCAACTCCAAAAGTGATATCCATCTAGGAGCCATATTCCACATTGGTGCAAGTTTAAGTCTCCTAAAACATACAACACCTTTAAAGAAATGCCATCACCAATGATAGAATTCAGCTATTATTGTCAAATTGTTTCCTATTTTTTATCTTTATGTCCCACTGTCCTTCATGAGTCTCTATTATGCTTGTACAGAGAGGCAACCCTTTGTTTGATTTCTGGCTGTGTACTTGTTAGCTCTGTGACCATGGGCAGATTATTTACTTTCTTCATGTCTCATTTTCCTCATCTGTAATGTGCTGGTAATAATTGGACCTACCATAAAGGATCATAGCAAAGATTAAATATAACACTCATAGAAGTCTAGCACATATTAAGGATTCAATAAGTATTCATATTTTTGCAATTTCATGGCAAAAACAAACGTGACATTTTCACCAACCTAATAGAGACCTATTCTCTAAAATCTTTATGGTATTTTTCTGTTAATAAGTATCCTATTTCTTTTTCTTAAATCTGAAAATCATCTAAAACTTACATCACACTGTTTTCTATTTTCACATCTTGACATGTCATCTTGCTAGAAAGACATTCTCTTGTCTTCTATTAGACCAGTAGTATCCATTTATATGGAATTGCTAATTATATGCCTTCACAAAATTCATATTATCTGCTTGTACCAATGAATATAAAGGCTAAAGACAGAAACTGCCATTATCTCTCTAACACAAGGGTCCGCCATCCCCAGGCCACCAATTGTGACCTATTAGGAACTGGGCCACCCAGCAGGAGGTGAGCAACCAATGAGCAAGCATTACCACCTGAGCTCTGCGTCCCGTCAGATCAGTGACAGCATTAGATTCTCAGAGGAGTGCGAACTTTACTGTGATCTGTACATGTCAGGGATCTAGTTTGCACACCCTTTATGACAATCTAATGCCTGAGGTGAAACAGTTTTCTCCTGAAACCACCCGCCACACCCCCAACACCCACCCCACCTCGCCCCACATCTCTGGTGTCAAAAACGTTGGTGTCCACTGTTCTTTAGGAATGAGAGAGATTAAAGCTAACAAAATGGAAGGGTGGATCGAAAAATAAACTTGAGTTATTTTATGCTTGTGACCTGAAACCAGATGTAAAGTTGAACAACTGAAAAAACTATCTCTGCTTTTGCTTCCTTTTCTGAGCCATGGTAAGTTAATGCTCAGGACTGGATATAATGCATAAGGAATTCTAAGGATCCTAAGCAACAGTACTCTATGTATGCTACATCCTGGGGTTATCATTTGCGGTGAATTTGTTCTTAACATTGGCATTTTTTTTTTCTTATTTAGGGCAGAAATTTAGCATCTGGAGAGGTTGGATTTTTTCCAAGTGATGCTGTCAAGCCTTGCCCATGTGTAAGTACTAGTATCTTAATTCTTTCTTGCTTCGTTTTGTTTTTGATGCTGTGATTAATTGTGCAAAAATCTACAAAGGCTGCTGACCAGGTCAGTTATTAATTTTACTAATATTTTCTAGAAAAATTAATTTTCAACATCATTGTGATTCTATTGTTAGAATGTTTTTAAATGTTAAGAAAATATATATAAGAGGCAAATTTAACTTAGTAGAACTTATAAAACTAAGTTGTCTAAAAGGTTTTAGAAGAAATAAACCACAGCTACAAATTAGATGCGTTGTACAAGTTTCCCCTTTCCCACTGAAATGAGAATGGTATGGTCTGCTTCCAGTCACTTGGGTTGCAGAGTGACACTACACTTCAACTGATGTCTTTGAACGCATGCTAGAAAATTAAAAGTCCACAAACTCTTCAATTAAATGTCTAAATAAATTTTCTATACTTCAGTGTGTCATAACTGTTTATATAATGTCGTAACTGAATTTTTTGAAAATATCAGATGCCGATAAAAGGAGAATAAATGAACATTTACTCAATACTATGGGTGAATGTAACCTAAAATGTACTCCCTGGTGTGTTATGATACTGATAAATGTCTGTGTAGGGTAACACGATTTTAATGTCATAAGTTAGTATCGGGATGATTTTTTTTCTACACAACTTTTTAAGTTGTTGACTCCAAGTTAATGAAATTCCTTTCCTAATATGATGGAGATGATTGCCTGAGGGGGGGGGGAACTCTCCTTAAACTATACTGCTTGCTATATTTCAGTAATTACTGAATTTCTAAACTGGACATTCTTTTTAATGTTAGAAACATGAAAATCCGCCATCCTTGATTTTAGAAAGTACACTACAGGGTAATTTACTCCACTCATTCAACCTTTATTTTCAAAAGCAAAGAGAATAGAAAAGCAGCTGTTATTCCGTTGGTTCTGGGTTCTAATTTCACATTTTTAACTTTTATTTTAGGTTTAGGGGTACACGTGCAGGTTTATTATTTGAGTAAATTGCATGTCATGGGGGTTTGGTGTACAGATTATTTTGTCACTCAGGTTCTAAGCATAGTACCTGATAGGTAGTGTTTAGATCCTCACCCTCCTCCCACTTTCCACCTTCAAGGAAGACCCTGGAGTCTGTTGTTCCCTTCTTATGTCCATGTGTACTCAGTGTTTAGCTTTCACTTATAAGTGAGAACATGTGTTATTTGCCTTTCCTTTCCTATGTTAATTCACTTATGATAATGGCCTACAGCTCCATCCATGCTGCAAAGGACATAATCTTGTTTCTCCCCATTACTGAACAGGGAGTCCCAGCCCCATTGCTTGTTTTTGTCAGCTTTGTCAAAGATCAGATGGTTGTAGGTGTGCAGCATTATTTCTGGGCTCGCTGTTCTATTCCATTGTTCTATAATGTTGCATATTTTTTGTCTTAGATTACATTACAGTCTTGAAAGATTACTGAAATTTGCTACAACTCTTATTTAATTAGATAAGCTAAAACGATTATCTAGTTTTTTGACTTTGTATGAACAAGATTAAGGCTTCCTATCTGTAAAGTAGTAATGTATATATGTAGGCAGGTGGCAGGATATTATACGTGCTAACTTTAAGAAGTTTAAGAACCTAACGACATCACATCAAGAATGCTAAGCATTGAATATACCATGTAAATAATGCCGCACACCTTCCACTTCTGTTTATGGAACTGTTTTTGTTTACAGCCTCTTGAATAAGGCATAAAAATTAGCATTTGAAGTTTTATTTCAGGGACACTCTGGTACAAAGTAGGTATTTTATAAGTTACTGTTGAATGAATGAAAAAAGGAGTAAAAAAGCAAATGCAAGTCCCTAGCTGTATATACGACATTACCAATGGTAGACACTAATTAAATCAGCCTGTGGAATCATAGCAAATGATATTTGCTGACCCAAAAAGTGGCTAGAAGGAGAAATATGTTCAGAAATTTTAAGATGACAGAATTGTAGAGTAACTTATAATTGTAAGTAGGACTACTAAATATGGTTGTTTTATAGTAGCAGGTAGCTACTTTACATTTTACTGCTTAGTGAAATTACAGATTAATTTTTTAATTAGAGGACAAGTTAAATAAAAGCAAGGAGAAAGATGAGAATTTGAAGGAGAGGGATACTTTGAGGAAGTTTGGAAGATGGTATTGCTTTTGATTCTGGGGTATATTATTTATCAGGGGTCTATGAGTAGTGCTGAATATTCCATTCTGGGCTTAAAATTTATTTTCCTGCATATACCACATCCATCTCCTCAAAACCTCTGTGGTATGCAGGTAGAAACATAGAACTGAGGGAAACACAGGCGGTTCATGAATGAGTCAATTTTATTTTTAGCAATATGGTAACTAGAGACAAACCTGGAACTGCAGCACAATGCAAACTTGGCTAGAATCTCTGATTCCAGGAGCGCTTAGTGGGTAAACTAGGAGAAAATCCATCCCACTGACAATGATAAGCCTACCTTGCTATGGTTCAGGATTGGAAAACAAAAAGGAAAGCAATCTCCCCTGGGAATTTCTAACCTTAAATCAAAAACCATCTAGATGAAGGGCTGTAATTAATACCAGCTCTACTACCTAAATAATTCTAAGCTAGAAATGTAGTTTAAAATTATTCCAGATTGTGCCGCTGCACTCCAGTCTGGGTGACAGAGCAAGAATCATCTCAAGTAAAAAATAATAATTAAAAAAAATTCCACATTGATTATCATCCCAGGGAAAACTCATATTCTTTCTGGATTGGAGCCTCTTTGTGCACATTCCTCAAATGATTTTTATACATAAAGTCCTAGGGAACATATATTCACAATGTGGAATCATTGCATTCATGCAGAAACAAATCACCTTGTACCAAGGTCAGCAGAAACAATAAAATATATACTTAAACCCACAAATATAGCAAATATTTGAATTTTAGATTCAACAATGTATGCTTAATATTTAAAAATTCAAAATATTATACTTAATATGGTTTAAGAAATTAAAGGAAACAAAAATCTAAGAGGAAAGCAAGACACTATATAGTTAGGCATATATGAAAAAGATTCAGGTATAGAAATTGAAATCCTTAATGGATGGCATATCAGACACAGTTGTGTAGGAAATTGGGAGGGAGGAAAAATCTGAAGAAATTTCTCAAAAAACAGCTGGAGTGATGAGACACAAATACATTTAATAGAAGGAGAGAATAAAGATAATTGCAAAAAAGCAATATTCAAATAAACAATGGCTGAGAACTTTCCAGATTCTATAATAAAACTCTAATCTTGAGAGTCAAGAAGTGTATGTTAAAATTAATTAACACCTGGATACATCATAATGAGACTGGAGGACATTAAAGACAAAATATTAAAACTAAGTAAGAGAAAAGACAGATTATCTATAAAGGCTTGATAATCGGACCCAGCTAACAACAGCAGTAATGGAAGCAACAAGAGTTTCCACTTCTGGTAACTCTTGAACAGCTCCTATTGGACCAGTCCTCCCACACATAACTACAAGTTGTGGACAAAATACTACAACAAAACTATTTAAGGGCACTTCTCAGGAGAAGAGTTGACACTTGGAAAAAGGAGTGGTATTAGGGTGAGTTTATTTCTTTTATGGCTAACTTGAGGGCAGGCACTGGATTGTATCATTCTGGGTGGCTAAAATTCAGATAGAAACCTTATAGTATTTCTATAAGGTTGTATTACAACCTCAAAGGCATTATAACCTTTAAAGAATTTCTGTAAGATTTTATAAGGTTTGTATTCATATCCGTACAAACCGTATAGAAATGCTATAAGGTTTGTATGGATAAAATTAGCATTTCTATAAGGTTTGCATGGATTGTATATTCTCAATAAAATATTTTTTAAAAACAGTAGGTTCATAGCAGAAGTTTAGCAATGTTAACTGATTATGGTGCTGCCGGAAAATGGCATTAGGGAAAAATAGTAATCATATGCTCAAAGATGGAAAAGTTCCCAAAAGGAAGTTATTTGTTGTCTTTTTTTTTTTTTGAGACGGAGTTTCGCTCTTGTTATCCAGGCTGGAGTGCAATGGCGCGATCTCGGCTCACCGCAACCTGCGCCTTCTGGGTTCAGGCAATTCTCCTGCCTCAGCCTCCTGAGTAGCTGGGATTACAGGCATGCGCAACCATGCCCAGCTAATTTTTTGTATTTTTAGTAGAGACGGGGTTTCACCATGTTGACCAAAATGGTCTCAATCTCTCGACCTCGTGATCCACCTGCCTCGGCCTCCCAAAGTGATGGGATTACAGGCTTGAGCCACTGTGCCCAGCCATCTATTGTCTTAAATATGAAGTACCTGTCCAAATAAGGACCCATGGTACACAGAAAAAAATGCAGAGGGCCCATGACTGGTGAAAAAGGATAGGACCCCACCCTAGTAATAGGAATCATGGCTGAGAAGGTATTCCTAGATCCTCACATGTTGGAATGCACCCGCTGAAGAGAGAAAAGCTCTGTTTGGACACTTCAAGGTGGAACAGCATCAGTTGCCTGTTCTGTTTTAGAATCTTATGTCACTGTGTCCTTTTTGGATCTCCAGCCTTTTTAAAAGCCAAAGGAGTCCAGAGACAGAATATTTTGAGATTCTTCACTCTCCTCCTTCCTTCCTTTCTCTCTCTTTCTCTCCCCCCCCGCCCCCCCCCGCTCTCTCTCTCTCCCTCCCTTTCTCTCTCTCTCCCTCTCTCTTCTCTTTTCTGTTTATTCTTTTTGGCTTAAGAATAAACATATAGGAGCAGTATCTCCAGCAGGCACCACAGGTTGTCGGTACAGAACTGGGTGAATGTTTTTCCTAGCACCAAGAGTACCTGTGGGACAGAGCTACCTGCTCCCCAGAAAGAGGGGAAGCTGAAAGCAGAGAGACAGGTGGTATGACTGGGTGGGTCTCACCCCGACAAAGACCAGCAAACTGAAGCCCTCTTGCTTGAGAGTTTTGCAGCCAGCACGTCAGTTCAA